ACCTATTGGGGAGCCCCTCTCCTTCAGAAGATAACAACGTTGTTGTCGAACTAACTTCTTTAGAAAAAAAAAAGGAAAATCTTGGCATTCAAAACAATAGTTTCAATCTTATTAAAAACGTGTATGAAAGATCATGGAGATAGCTCCTGCCAATTGCTGCTATGTGTTGGATGTTGTTGACCCTCCAACACAGTCCACTCAGTTGGGTATAGGGTTGAATATAAAGATCGATACCCAGTTGAGTGGACTGTGTTAGAGGGTCAACAACATCCAACACATAGCACTCTATTGAATGCATTTTATCTAAAGAAATAGGTTCGAAAACAACGTTGTTATCTTCTTCTGAAGGAGAGGGGCCCTCTTTGTCATACCCATACAATTGTGGTGGGAGACACGGCTGCACTGGCTAAACATTGCTGCAGGGCTGATAAGACATAGAACCAAGAACGAGACGTCCAAAGACTACTGCAATGCTGATTGAAAACAACGTGTATTGTTTTTTATAACAATATATCGGCTGGCCATATCAGCCTTCTTCAGATTTACAGATGTTACTGAACTTATGTAGCAATCAGACATCACTGAACGCTGATGAGAGGTTATCTAAGGTTTCTTTGTCATAGGCGTTGATATTCGAACTGCTGTCTCGGGGTACACCTGGGTATACGAAGCGAACACACCGCACCGTTTGATCGACAACGACAATATGCTGCTCGGAAATCTGGTCAGTTCTTTGAGGAACCGAGTCAAGAAACCTTAGAAAGTCAGACTCCACATCGTAGTGGAGCCTTGTGTCATCTTCATAAGCTTCTATTTCCGTAGCCGGCATTCTGGCTGCCGCTCGGTGCCGCCGCTGCCATCGCTGCCATGTTTTTAACAAGCAATGATCTGTGTCACTGACCAGAAGTAGTGAGGGCGCAAAAGAGTTGAATGAATAGTTGAATCAAGTTGAATGTTGAATAAATGGTTGAAATTGTTGAGTAGATAATTGAATGGGTAAATAAGGAATTGAATATAAAATGAATAGTTGAATGTTGAATGCGAAGTTGAATATAGAATAACGCGTTGAATGTTGAATATAAGTTGAATATTGAACGCATAGCTGAACACATAATACAAAACTACATATAAAATTAAACGAATTGAATATTGCTACATTTGGCTTGCCATATTCTATTTTCTAAAGTGTATCTCAGTGTTCGTGGCTGAAGCAACAGTCGGTTGATTGGTGATTAGGCTAGTGCTCTGAGCTTTTCTCCACATAGCCATAGGGTAAGTTCGGGTTTTCGGTCCCAAAATTAAAGCTCATATGTAAGTACGTTGCGTTTGCGTTTGCTGATGATTCTCGTCCCTGCATGCAAGCGATTGTCTACAGCATAAGTTTGGGGCTAATTGCTTGAACGGGAGAAATCGTAATGTAGAACAGTTGAGGTTCCACTTGATTCTGTAGCCGATACTAAACTAATTGGCATAAAGATAGACAACTGTTTTTAAACAACCGTATCGAATATAGGAAAGCGACTTGGCCTTTTGAAAAGAACAGATAATTTTCTGTGACTGATCTAAGCTGAGAACTTTGTTTTACAACCCACTTATCCAGCTAATATATGTCTACGGGGGTTATTGTCTGGGGAACATGCAATGAAACAAACAAGCCGCACGTTCCAAGACGTAATCAATCATGTACAGAAACAATGCGCCAGAGTAATCCTAGACAAAAAATGAGACACCCCCCTTGGGGCCTTAGACCTTAACGCCATGCCATGATTTGATAAAAGATAAGTAATTAAAAAGTCCCAGTATCTCAGTCCAGAGCTTTTCCATTTTTGGAAATATTTTGATCTGCGAACCACAACAAGCAATTACCCCATCACGGAGCAAACTTAGAGTCACATGACGCGAGGCTTGTTTGCATAACAAGAGTAGTCTTGCATGCGTCGTAGACTGCTGAAACCTTCTGTATAGAGCGTCTGCAAATTTGTGCACCATATCGTGTACTATCATGTTGGAATCCCACAGAGTCGCAAGGACATATGTCGGCGTTTTTGATTGGCTAGTTGCTAAGGGCTAAGCTGCTCTCTTGCTTTAGGAAGGCCAAACTGTTAGTAAAATGCGGTCAAGGTAAAAAAAATGTTCCATCACGGTAGTTGTTCAGTTGATTTTTGCTACTTTATACCAGACTAAACGCCACAAATCCTAGAGTAGCTTTTAGCCTTAGTTGCGTAAATTTAAACTTGCCGATTTGATTTTTTTTATGTTTTTGAGTGACAATTCCCGGTTTCCCTAGTCTAAACTAAAATCTTCAACCAATTGATCAGCTTCCTGGAAAGAAAAAAGTCTGTGTACAGACTACGAGGTTCCTTTTTCTAACTTCCTTTGAAAAATCGCGTCTCTGGTGAGCAGTAAGAAAAATAAAGCACAAAAGTTATGGAACAGAAATTGAAATTAGAAAGTTTACTTTAGCATTGAACATTCTCAAAAACATGGAGAACTCCAATTAACCTTTCGTATCAGTGCTGTTCGTTTTGCCTACTCAGGTAAACTAAGGCATGGGCCTCAATTTGCCTCAATTTACACACTTCAAAAGTGAGGGGATGGTCTATATCTAAGAGCTTTAGATGTAGACACAAAACTTTGCCACCTGCACACATTTTTACTTTGTGCCAATCTCGTGCTTTGAAATTAGGCAAATTAGGTCACGTGACCTCCATCGGCTGAAAAAGCTTGTTCTTGAAATGGCAACACTTTATCGTGTGTCCTCAATTATTTTGCCGGTTGCATAATGTTAAGGCCAACTAATATATCACTTCTGTACTTGGCCTTTTTTAGATATTGAAAAGCGAAGGCGATAAAATTGCCTTGGGGGACTGGGTCTAGTTGAAAAAACCGTTTATTTTCTAAAACAGTATAAAATTCAAAAAAGGCCAAAGAGAGTTTTGTAGATGCTTGCATTACACATTGTCCTAAACCAGTTCGGTTTAATAACTCACAACAAAAAGTGTTGCCATTTTTGTTTAAAGACTTCTTGTTCTTTTCTGATCATGTGGAGTCAGGTGACAACATTTGCATAATTGAAAAACACCAAATTGACAGAACCCACACATGTATGTATCTAGTAAAGTCTCATCTTTCTAATAAGTGCTCAGAGATAGACCACGCCCCATCACTTTTTGACTGAATCATTGGAGGCCCATGCCCCTATTTACCTGAGTAGATCTAGAGTCTGAATAAAAAATCTTGTAACGTGTTTGAATCAGATAATTGTATCCAGTGCTCTACTTTCCGACATAAATACTCAACTGCGGTGACTACAGGAAAATATGCCACTCGAAAATCTCGCTGATGTTTTTTCCAATCTTTTCAATTTGCAATGTTTAATTTTGGGACTCACGGATTTAACATCCCTGGGCCCCAAAATTAAACATTGCAAATTTTTTAACACAGGATTATAGTCACATCCTGCACGTATATTTTGTGGCTGGTTTTTGCTGTTCACACCCTTACGGGGACGTGATTTTTGTCTTAATCATTAGGTATCACTAAGTTAGCTCCTTAGATCTAGCTTGTTATACTCCCTGATGAAGTCTCTGTGATCAGACGAAACTGGTCGGAGAAATAACTCAATTTGACAAGATACTCGGGTTGCTTTGTGCTGCTCACCAGTGTCCATTGTAAAAAAAATTAATAAATAAATAAATAGGAAAGGCGTTAAATGCGTGAGCCCCAAAAGAAAATATTGCTCATTTTGGCATAAAATCATAGATACTCACGCTGCTTCCATATAAATGAATTTACTTCAACTTAGAAAATGTTACATCACGGCAACTGGATAAATACAATGTTCGATCACCTGATCACAGTAAAATATAAATATCATGGTAGAAAATGTTTCATCACAGTAGTGAAAATATATCAAGGTAGAAAATGTCACATCACGGTATTAAAATGATATCAAGGTAGAAAATGTAAAATCACGGTAGAAAAATGATATCAAGGCAAAAGGCCCAAGCTCATTACATGAACGCGGACGTGACTCTTGCTTGCGAGCGGTGTTGTGTTACAAACGGTTATTTACAAAGGCTTGTATGGGATGTAAACAGTTTTTCTTAAAAGGGAAAAAATGTTATTTTTTTAAATAAAACCGACTTACCTTATTGCCTTGTTGTATTCTTTGTTGTTTTCCTGCGTCTCAGGCCGTTTCGAAGCGTTTTCGGCGAGTTAGCGCAATTTTTGGTGTTCCACTGCTAAAAGAAAATTCTTTTAGCAGTGGAACACCAAAATAGCGCTAACTCGCCGAAAACGCTTCGAAACGGCCTGAGACGCGGGTAAACAACAAAGAATACAACAGGGCAATAAGGTAAGTCGATTTTATTTAAAAAAATAACATTTTTTCCCTTTTAAGAAAAACCGTTTACATCCCATTCAACAAAATTTGTAACAAATTTCGGTCCAAAACTCACCGCTCGGTCAAACCAAGAGTCACGTCCGAGTTAAAACGGGTGAGCCTTGGGCCACCACTTTTGCCGGTGTTCAAGGTAGATAATGTTTGATCACGGTAGTAACATGATATCAAGGTAGAAAAAGTTAAATCACGGTCATAAAATGATGTAAGGTAGAAAATGTCACATCACAAACCGTAAAATGATGAAAAATAAAACAATAAATGGTTGGTTGATTCTATCCCAGGAACATTTCATTGGATATGTTACACAACATTAAACATTACATCAACAAATAATTTTGAAACAAACAGCGCGGGCAATAGCCCGAGAAAGCCCGGCTCCTCTGTCGCAGGTGTTTTTAGGGGAGCTCGTATTTCTTAGGGAAGAAATACGAGCTCCCCTAAAAACGACGGTACCTGCGACAGAGGAACCTGGCTTTCTCAGTCGGCCCAGGTCGCTCGCGGTCTAGCCTGCAAGCCACCGGAAAGAGCTCGCTGCGAACCATTTCTCAATGAGAAATCGAATTTGTTTGTTGTAATAAGTAAAAGGAACTAAGATATGAGTACTTTTCGTGGAAAAGAAATATTCGATGCCCATATTCGTAAGTAACGAATTAGTCTTAGTCAATGTAAATTTAAAAGCATAATATTGACAGTTTGCCGATGTAAAGCGGGACAGGAACTACGTACTCAACCTCGACAAAATTTTAATACAAAATATAAAGCTTGGTTTAAATCATTGTGCTACTCTGTACCTCAAATGAACAAATTTCAGCTATTCATATTAACACACACATGCCCGGCTCAACAACGCTAATCTAAACTTTCCAAATATCACACGATGGCAGCAGACTGGAGTGGTGGAAAGGCTGTTTCTGCGCGGAGGCTATTCTAAAAGCAGTTAGTGTGACGTGAACACATTGTTGTGTTTAAAAAACTCGCCTTTATGGCTTTTTTGCTTATAAGTTTCGTAGAGACATCTCTGCGTCAAATTCTTCTGCATGCAAGGAACTGTAGTAAGATATATTTGCTATGTACATGCAGATTTCCGTATCATCGAAAGAAGGGCCCCACCTAGATTAATGCAAAGGTCGACTTTCCTAGAAAATAAAAATAAAAAACTGTGGTCAGATTCTTAGATTACCCGCACTTAACGGTAGGAAGATTCAGCTGTACGAGCCTCTTTCTTTTCTTTTCTTTTTTTTCCCCTTTTTTTCCTCGGGCGATTTACAAAATGAACTTCCTTCACCTTTTAGCTTGGGTTGCCTTATATTCAAACCACGTGATGTTTTCAAGGGATTTTGATAACATAATGTAGTCTGATGGGGGTAACCCAAGCTAACTGACGAGGCCTTGTTCTTAGATGGGAGACAAGTGGCACAAATAACATTTGGTTAGGCAATCCTCTTTTTTTTCTTTGTTTACTGTCGAATGCGTTTCCTGATATTGGGTCAGTGGGTCGGATTGAAAAAACAAAAAACCTGAAAAAAAATCACAAGAAGTCTTGGAATAGTAGGCCCTGGTACCCCAGGACGACGTTAAAAGTTAGCATTCACATATTTGGATTAACAAAATGTACAATATACTGTGAAAATTGTTCATGTTTTTGTTCCTGTTTTTCTCTATGCTGTTACTATGCTCCTTTTTCAGATTAAAAGAATTATTTCAAGTGAAAAATGGTGTAACTACGTCGTTGCTTTTTTTTTTTTGAAAATGCCAAAAATTTGGGTCAGTCAGACGACGGTAAATGTAGAGAAAAAAGAGGATGGCCTTGGTCCAAATTAAGAATCCAGAGCATAATAATCTACCTTCTAGAAATTATTGGAACAAGTGGCACTTTCACATGAGGTAAAAGCCCTGCAGGCCTACTGATGCTTTTTATCACTAAGTTTGTTGTGTGAATGTTTATGTCCTGTGTCCTTAGTTTTTGTCATAATTATTTAGCCGTTCAAAGCTTGTCACCTTTAACAAATTTGACGGCTGGGTTCTTTGGTGAACCTGGGAAAATTCAAAACCCAATAGCACACGTGCAGGCTTACACTCCTTCGCCCCATTCTTCTTGCCAGTTTTGCCAGCATATACCGCCATACGGTAATTTTCCATGACCTCACACAAGTGAAGCAGCTAGCAGGCTTCTATAATTTTAAAACTCATTGTCTGAGGTATTAGTGAGGATTAGTCTTGTTCTGACATCATTTTACTATCGTTTGTCTTTGTTGCTGTTGTAGCTTCAACCCACATAAATGTGCTGTTTGTCACCTTTTCATCAGTATTGTGTCCCTATTTTAAAGGCAATGTTGGTAAGGGAGTGGAGGGTAGGGGAGTCCATATTTAAACTTCCTATGGATTTCCAAGTCAGCTAAAATAAAATGAGTATTTTTCTTAAATATTAATGTTTTTCTGTATGTTGAGGGCATCAGGGGTCTCTGGAAACATAGTAAGGTTAAGATAGCCTCAAGGTCTTCACTTGGAAAGGTACTCAGTGCTTGTTGGGATATTGCTGTGAATTTTTTTAACCACAGTCATGTATTGTTTATTGTTTATTTTTTAATGTACTAAATGTAACTAGTTGCAAATCTGTTGATTTATATTTCTTAGATTTATGGGACAACGAAAAGTATTTCTATCCTTGGCCATCTGCAGATCTGAGTGGCATTTGTAGACCATTTCATTTAAGTGATCTTGAAGATGCAATGGCGCCATCTCCTGTAAGAAAGGTGGTCTTCATTCAAGTCAACCAAACATATGATGAAACAGGTAAATTGGGAAATAACTTTGATTCAGTTAATAAGGGACAATTCATTAATAGAAGTCCTCACTCACAGATTAATTAATGATTGATTTCTTATGACTACTTTTATATAGATTTTTTTTTCATTCTTGTGGGGTTTCCATTGCACTAGCATATATTTAAAAAAACCACTATAAACTGTCTTCTCCCCCCAAATTAGTTTGGCCTTGTTTTAAAGTGTTAAAATGTTTTAAATGTTAACTGAATGAACAAACACATTACAGTTTACTACAAGAATTTTATCAAGAAAATGCATTTTGATGCATTTATATTATAAGTCTAAATTTCTTTGGGACACCCATCCTGCTGATCATGAAATCAACAGGCTCATATGTGACATAAATTTAGGAACTAAAAAAAGGGGACTTAAAGCTTATCCCTCCCTTAGCCTTAGGGTCGCCTGCAGTGTTGTTGTGTCTAACTGCAATGCATCTTACTGGCATGTTTAAGCTTTCAACAGCTGTTTCTGAATCAGTTTGTGAAAATGGATGAAATATTTCTAGAACTCCACACTAATGTTTACTTGTATCTTCTGTTTCTTAATTTACATCATAGTTCCTCAATCACAGCACCTTATGTTTCCAGGAGGCTTCTGAGAGAAGACTAACCGAGATAAATGATGTGCCAAAATGGCGGCAAATTTTAACAGTTCAAAAAAACTCCACAGAAATCACATTGTGTTCAAATCAAAAAATCAATTTTTGGCAGAGTGTCTCTTAGTTTCATATGTGTACTTTCATTAAAAAGCATAAGGGCACTGTAAGTCACTTGTAATAATTTGTGCAGCATCAAGAGCAAGTGAGACTGTCACGGTGGTTAAGTGGTCAACATGCTAGATTTGATGTGTTAAGAAGTCTTGGGAACTTCAATTTCCACTCTGGGCTTCCAATAAGTCAGTTTTTTTTTGGTCTGGGTACTCCTAAAATTTATCTCCACAGCTAAAACTATAAATAATAATGTCAAGCTCCCAAAAAAATCCATAACCTCCCTTGGGAGGTGATTCAGGGGGGGTGTTTGTTGGTGTGACCCCCCCCCCCCCTTTCACCTCTCTAGAAATTCCAGTTGATAGGTTACACCAATTCCTTAACAAAATTTTGTCCTTTACCTAACACTTAAAGACACCCCACTGGCCCCTTAGAATTTCTAATAACCCGCCAGGGGGTGAGTATGAATATTTGACTTTTTCTAGAAGAGCACTATACCAATTGGCTCATTTCTAAAGTTTTATTTGAAATATATCTATATCTGTATCGGTATCTTGTTCCCTCAAAACCCTCTTAAAGGGTGTGAGAGTATTATTATGACCAACAAACAATAACTTTCCCGTGTGGAATTCCAAATGCCCAAAGCAACCATCACTGAATCTGCTATATATGACTATTGTAAATTAAAATTTGGAGGGCTCATAACTAATGCATTGTATTTGTTAAGGCCAATTACGTTGCCAGTTTTCCAGACTGCTGACCTCATTATACCTCATGAATTCCCAATCCTCCGAGTCACTCTCAGCTCTTTGACTCTTCCTAAATTTGTTTAAAATGCAGATTGGATCCTGGAGAAGGCCACTCAAAGCTCAACAATTGTTGGAATCATTGGGTGGGTTGATCTAACAGATCCTGAGGTATTGTTGGTCTTTTTAAAGTACAGACAGCTAGCCATCTGATCACCCAATTAAACCCATTTAAGTTTCTTTATTTTATAGCTACCATATTTTTCCATCAAAGGAAGCTGTGCCTCACTGGTTTTATATTGAAAATGCAAGTCTTAATATGAATTTTTTTTTATTTACTAGTTATTTTAATTTTTATGTATTCATGACCTATAAACCTGAGTTGTCTTCGGGATTTTAGGCAGCTGGGATGATCCATTTGATATGCAGGTGTAAAACAATGTGTACGTCATTACCTACAGTTCCTCGCAACCCCAGTTCGACAAGTTCCAAGTTTTTTTCTAGATACTGACTCAATTTGAACTGTAAGTTTGTCCTTAATACATGGTTACAAGTTTATTATAAATAGGGGCTAATTGCTCTTATAGCCTTGGCTAAATCTAAATATTATGTGTTATATAATTTGTGGTCACTCGTTTTCTTCCCTTCTAATGCATGTTTAACGGCTATTAATCCTAATCAATTCCCCCATCCCCTCCCCCATTAAAAGCACAATATTCTGAACCCTTCCAATTACCTTTAAACCAAGATATGGCAACAAGACTACTAATTCAGCCTTTACTTTTTAATCTTTGGATAAAATCCTATGATGTTACCATACAAATTAAAACCTACTTGAGTCAAATCTATACATAGTTTATTATTCCTTATTTTGTTATTTTATTATTTATGTCATAAGGTTTTTTTTTTTCATTCTGGCCGCTGTTGTGAGTGAAAGGCTTAAAATTTCACAATTTGCTTTTGAAGGTTTTTACACGAGCTTTGCGAGTGTCAAAATATCCCCTACCCCTCACCCTAGAATATTCATTGTCAGAGGCAGCCTGCAGAACGGACGTTATTTTTTCACGTTCTTCAGGCGACCGAAGGCATGCGCGAAGCGAGTGAGGACGTGAAAAAAATGACGCCAGTTTGGAAGGCTATGTCAGAAGCTGTTTGGGGGCAAAATTAATAGCAAATACTTTTAGCCATTTAGGACTTAAAGACATTGCTTCTCCATGCGAGTGTTTATTTATTTAAATGTTAGGTAGATGTTATTTTGGACAACTACATGAATAAGCATAAAATATTCAGAGGAGTAAGAAACATCTTGGAGGGCGAGCCTGATGACTGGCTTGGACAAGAGTCTGTTCTCAGAAGTTTAGGTATTACTAATATACATATAAATTTATCAGTTCACTATTTATTATCAATACCCTTGTCTATAATATTATGTAATTGAGATGCATGGGAAAGAAGTTGACCCCTGGCCTTCGCCTCAGCCAACAGCGCTCGCGCATTTAGGCCGGTACACACGAGGGATTTTGCTCCCGGAGCATGCTCCAGGCACACTCCGGGAGCAAAGGTTCCGAGTGTACCAACGATTTCATGGGTATATTTCATTCGCAAAATGCTCCCGGGGCAAATTGAAGGAACTTGAAAACGCTCCCTCGTGTGTACTGACACGTGCAAAAAGAGCCTGGAGCGTGCTCCGGGAGCAAAACCCCTCGGGTGTATCGGCCTTTGAACCGAGTTGATCCGGCTGGGAGAGCCAAACTGTTGCATGGAGAATAGTTGGCCCGGCCAGGAGGGTGACCAAACTATCAAAAAAGAGTGACCCGGCTAGTCTGGTCACCCTTATTTTTGTTTCTCATGTAAACAGTTCGCTATTTTTGTAAGGAAATGTGGGAAACGTTGGCTCGCCTCCCCTCTCTCCCCCAGGGTAGCTCGGATGGACAGGAGAGTGACCCTTCGCAGGACAAATTTTGGGCATAAGTGTGGCTTAAAGTTGAGCCTGATGTGTATTGTAGCGCTGAGAGTGAAACAATATAACGATGTCGGTACTAGAAAGTTAAAATTTTTCGTAACAACGGGAGTTTCTTTCAGTCTAATGTCTATTATTTTCGCTGGGGATAGCTGGTATCTGTATTTGCGAAACATCCGTAAGGGCGGGATGTCCGCAAGGCTTTAGTTGACTGTATTTTCATTTTGAGCCTGAATTAATTGTGCCTCTATTTTACGCTTAAAAGGAATATCAACCTCCCATAGTAGTGGGGCCAGTTATGTATATCGGCAATGTTGATGTGAACGCTGATTTTCAGGCTGGAACCTGAGTGAAACTTCCGTAAAGGACCTGCAAGAAGTGCCAGGACCTGGTTGTCGCTTTTGAAAAGCTCCAACTTTCTATAATAATTCTCTGACTCGAAAAATGAGTTTCCCACTGCGTGGTGGTCACATGCGAGAGGTGGCCGCACATAAAGAATTTAAAGACCCACTGCACATTTTCTTATGCAAGGAAGTTCGACCTGAAATAGTTTTCTTCATTTATCTTGAAGGATTTCTTGAGAAAAGAGGACTCACATACGATCTTCTCATTAGGTAAGTTGTGGGCAGTTTTTACACTCCCTTGCTTAATTGACTCGTAAATTCTTTGAAGTTTTTGTAAACCTACTCCCTAGTCTATGAAGCACCTAGTAGCTAATGGTGTGGTCTAATATTGTTATACCAAGGGAGATCCGATTAAATGACATGATCACAAGCTGACTCAGCCCAATCAGCCATCAATCCCTATTTTTGCCTCTATATTTTTGGAGGATTCCCCAAGAGAACGATCGAAGCGATTCAGTTGATTATGTGGAAACCAGTCTATATTTAGACTTTAGGGCCGAGTTGTTCAAAACTGGGTTAAGATAACCCAGGGTTAGTGCGATATTTGAATTCAGATGTGAAAGCTTAAAAAACATTTTAGGTTTAAGTCTTTTTGTCTACAAGTTGATGATTGGAAGCTCTAAAAACAACACAGAAATTATCCGAGAAAATTCTTTTGAACGTAAGAAAAAGAAACCCGGGTTAAATTTAATCCGTGATTAAGGGCTAATCGGCCTTCCAACAACTGGGCCAGTTTGTTTAATTCACGATCAAAAGTTGCCCAGAGTTATAACCCTGGTTAAATTCGTAGTAAAGTCGCCAGAAATGCTGAGTTATGTCGCCCAAATTCGAAATTTTATCATGCTCGACAACATCTTAACATCGTATCAGTCATTTATCATGCTTTTTTCGCATCATCAGGGCTTAAAGAACGAGATATATTACACATTTATTAAACTGCTCGACTCCTTTCATTTATTTCCTTTTCGGACTGCCAATTTCTTACTCTTCTTACTCCGAGACGCGACTATTGATGTAAACCATAATTTTTAAGTGTTAAGAAGTTTTGGTGTATTTTGCCTTTTATTTCGTTTAATTCTATTCGTTTTGTTTTCAGTGCTTAACAATTGCGCACATGGGTATTTGCTGTACCTTTAAAAGCATTTTTTTCGGGAGTTGAGCTTTTGTCCTCGAAACCTCAACCTTCTTATTGTAAACTTGTCATTTATTGTCTGTTTCAGGACGAGACATTTTAAGTTGGCAGACTCTGTTGTCAAGAAATTCCCCAAGTAAGTCATTTATAATTGTAATGCGTACATTAAGTGCAAAACAGCCATGAATTGAATGTGCCTTTGCTTTCTGCGAGCAGCGGTTTCAGGAATAACCTGACTTCTTTGCAGCCTAAGTAATGCGCGATTCCTACTGTCATGTCCATTGCAAGAATCAGAAATTAGAAAGTAACTCAGGTTCAATAAAGTAAAAAGAAATTTGGCAATTCGACCGGGAATCAGGTAGACGAAGAACCACGTGCACTTTGTGAATGTGCTACCTCAAAATCATTATTTACGTATTATTTATTATTTATAGTTTACTCTCGTGTTCTGTCATTTTCACGGTTCATTCGGATCGGAGCTTTACCTTCCGTCATGCAGTGTGGATTTTTGAAACACTTCACTCTTCCTTGGCATCATTTGCAATTGTGATGTTATCTTGGGGTTCTTATTATTTGCGTAGGAAAACCGGAAAATCCGCTTCCAAAATCAAATGGTAAATTTTTGCGCCATTCCGTTGGGGGCAGCTTCAGAAACTAAGGTGCTGTGATTTGAGGCGATGCAATTTTTTCCACTCTTCAGCTGATATGGGTATACAGTACTTTGTAGCCGATCGTTCTCCCACCAAATTTCGTGGTTTAATGTTTATGCGCAAAATTTTCACTTGGGCGTTTTGTCTACAATTCACTCTTTCCAAGACGTATACAGCTTGTGGAAATTGCACTAATAGTACGTCTTTG